CTATCCCATTTTTGGCCCATTTATTACCAGTTTTAAGCCATTTTTGGATATTTCTAACCCATCTTTCCCATTTGTAACCCGTTTGAAGCTTTTTTTTTTTTGGCTGTTTCTGAACAATTTATGGCCATTTCTGTCCCTTATTTGCCCACTTCTAACCCGTTTTAAGCCATTTTTTCCCATTTCTAAACGGTTTTTACCCACTTCTTAATTGTTTTAATCCATTTTGGGCCATTTCCATACTTTCTTTGGACATTTGTAACGTTTTAAACCGTTTTGTTTTCCTTTTCTAACCCATTTTTGCCCGTTTAGGTACGGGACGCCTAGAAGAAAGAAAGTGGTACCGAAAAGTCCGCGTGTGCTGCCACCACGTGTCCAAACCTCGGTACTGCGGGGGGGGGGGGGGGGAATGGCGTGGCGCAGGACACGGCTCGCTGCTGCCATCACGTGCCCAAGAGGAGGTAGTGCAGTTAATGGACCTTGGGGGGGGCGCAAAGAGGTGGCTCAGTGCAACGCTAGCTGCTGCCATCCTGTGGTCGAAACTCGGTACTGCAGGGGAGGAGCCGCAGAGCGGCAAGGAGAACCGATTTCAGGCAACCCGCGGGCGCCATTGGCCAAGGAACCAATCACAGTGAGCGCTGTGGGGGGGCGGTGGGCGATGGGCGGCTAGGCGGGACTAAGCGTGACTGACGGGCGCTCTAGCCAATGAGCGCTGTGGGGGGGGGCGGCTTAAAAAGAACCCGGATGAATGCGGGACTAAGAGTGACTGACGGGCGCTGTAGCCAATGGGCGCTGTGGGGGGGGCGGCGTGAAAAATACCCGGATGAACGCGGGACTAAGAGTGACTGACGGGCGCTCTAGCCAATGAGCGCTGTGGGGGGGCGGCGGGAAAAATACCCGGATGAAGGCGGGACTAAGAGTGACTGACGGGCGCTCTAGCCAATGGGCGCTGTGGGGGGGCGGCGGGAAAAATACCCGGATGAAGGCGGGAGTAAGAGTGACTGACGGGCGCTCTAGCCAATGAGCGCTGTGGGGGGGCGGTGGAAAAATAAAGCGGAAGCTAGGCGGGACTAAGAGTGACTGACGGGAACTCTAGCCAATCAGCGCTGTGGGGGGGGGGGGGGGGGGCGGCTTGAAAAATACCCGGATGAAGGCGGGACTAAGAGTGACTGACGGGCGCTCTAGCCAATCAGCGCTGTGGGGGGGCGGCTTGAAAAATACCCGGATGAAGGCGGGACTAAGAGTGACTGACGGGAACTCTAGCCAATCAGCGCTGTGGGGGGGCGGCGGGGAAAATACCCGATTGAAGGCGGGACTAAGAGTGACTGACGGGCGCTCTAGCCAATCAGCGCTGTGGGGGGGCGGCGGGAAAAATACCCGGATGAAGGCGGGACTAAGAGTGACTGACGGGCGCTCTAGCCAATGAGCGCTGTGGGGGGGCGGCGGGAAAAGAACCCGGATGAAGGCGGGAATAAGAGTGACTGACGGGCGCTCTAGCCAATCAGCGCTGTGGGGGGGCGGTGGGAAAATAAAGCGGAAGCTAGGCGGGTCTAAGAGTGACTGACGGGCGCTCTAGCCAATGAGCTCATGGGGGGGCGGCGGGAAAAACACCCGGATGAAGGCGGGACTAAGAGTGACTGACGGGCTCCCTAGCCAATGGGCGCTGTGGGGGGGGGCGGCGTGAAAAATACCCGGATGAAGGCGGGACTAAGAGTGACTGACGGGCGCTCTAGCCAATGGGCGCTGTGGGGGGGCGGCGGGAAAAGAACCCGGATGAAGGCGGGACTAAGAGTGACTGACGGGCGCTCTAGCCAATGAGAGCTGTGGGGGGGCGGCGTGAAAAATACCCGGATGAAGGCGGGAATAAGAGTGACTGACGGGTGCTCTAGCCAATGAGCGCTGTGGGGGGGCGTTTTCAAAAGAACCCGGATGAAGGCGGAACTAAGAGTGACTGACGGGCGCTCTAGCCAATCAGCGCTGTGGGGGAGCGGCGGGAAAAATACCCGGATGAAGGCGGGACTAAGAGTGACTGACGGGCGCTCTAGCCAATGAGCGCTGTGCGGGGGAGGTGGGAAAATAAAGCGAAAGCTAGGCGGGTCTAAGAGTGACTGACGGGCTCTCTAGCCAATGGGCGCTGTGGGGGGGGGCGGCGTGAAAAATACCCGGATGAAGGCGGGACTAAGAGTGACTGACGGGCGCTCTAGCCAATGAGCGCTGTGGGGGGGCGGTGGGAAAATAAAGCGGAACCTAGGCGGGTCTAAGAGTGACTGACGGGCTCTCTAGCCAATGGGCGCTGTGGGGGGGCGGCGTGAAAAATACCCGGATGAAGGCGGGACTAAGAGTGACTGACGGGCGCTCTAGCCAATGGGCGCTGTGGGGGGGCGGCGTGAAAAATACCCGGATGAAGGCGGGACTAAGAGTGACTGACGGGCGCTCTAGCCAATGGGCGCTGTGGGGGGGCGGCGGGAAAAGAACCCGGATGAAGGCGGGACTAAGAGTGACTGACGGGCGCTCTAGCCAATCAGCGCTGTGGGGGGGGGCGGTGGGAAAATAAAGCGGAAGGTAGGCGGGTCTAAGAGTGACTGACGGGCGCTCTAGCCAATCAGCGCTGTGGGGGGGCGGCGGGAAAAATACCCGGATAAAGGCGGGACTAAGAGTGACTGACGGGCGCTCTAGCCAATGGGCGCTGTGGGGGGGCGGCGGGAAAAGAACCCGGATGAAGGCGGGTCTAAGAGTGACTGACGGGCGCTCTAGCCAATCAGCGCTGTGGGGGGGGCGGTTTGAAAAGAACCCGGATGAAGGCGGGACTAAAAGTGACTGACGGGCAATCTAGCCAATGAGCGCTGTGGGGGGGCTGTGTGAAAAGAACCCGGATGAAGGCGGGACTAAGAGTGACTGACGGGCTCTCTCGCCAATGGCGACCGTGGGGGGCGGTGGCAAAGCACACCGGTAAAGGGGCGGGGATGAGGGTGATTGACGAGTGCTTAAGCCAATGGCGGCTGTGGGGGGCGGTGGCATAACAGAACGGAAAATAGACGGATCTAAGAGTGATGGACGGGCGCTCCAGTCAATGGCGACCGTGGGGGGGGAAGCCGTGGTGAAACAGACCGGGAGAGGGGCGGGGATAAACCAAGAATGGCTTAAACTGGTAAGAAATGGGCAAAAATGGGATAGAAATGGCCACAAACCGTTTAGAAATAGAAAGAAAGGCTTAAAATAGGTTAGAAATGGGGGAAAATGGCTTAGAAACAGAAAAAATGGCTCCAGATGGGTAAGAAATGGGCAAAAACTTGGTTAGAAATGAAGAAAAATGGTTTAGAAATGGCCAAAATGGCTTAAAACAGGTTAGAATTGGACATAAAAGAGCTACAAATGGCTAAAAATGGCATAAATTGGGTTAGAAGTGGCCAAAAATGGGTTAGAAATGGTCAAAAATGGCTTAAACTAGGGACAAATGGGCATAAATGGGTTAGAAGTGGGCAACATTGGGTTAGAAATGGGGAAAAAAAAAGGTTCAAAATGGGTTAGAAATAGCCAAAAAAATGACTTAAGCTGGTAAGAAATGGGCAAAAATGGGATAGAAATGGCCATAAATGGCTCCTTCGCTCATTCTTTCCCTCCTTCCTTTTTTCCCCTCCCTCCTTTATCCCAAACCCAAGGAAAGCTGCCCCCAGCAGCAGCTCATCACTTCAGTAACTGCATTCACACAGGCACACGCACCCCGAAGAGAAGGCCAGAAAGATGAGGGGACAGCACCCCCAGTCCTGTCCCGCAGGCTGCAGAGGATGGTGGCATGGCTCTTCATCAGGCTCTGCTCCGCAATGTCCCCTCTCTGTTCCCATGCTGGGACAGGCACCTCAGAGCACCATGGGCCCCATACCTACTGAGCATCACGAGACATCTGCAGCAGAACCCCTTGAAGGTACTTTTCTTTCCCCGCCCCTCCATGGAGCTATGGACAATGCTACCAAAGACCCTCAAATTCAAGCCCATTTGCCTACCAAGGACCATTTACAGGTAATGTTAAAATAAGTTAAAGTTTAATGTTAAAATAAGTTAAAATAATGATGGAAAGCATCCATCTTTTTTGTGTTCTGGTCCTGCTCCTTGGCATACAGATGCCAGTGAGAAAACACACCAAAACCAAACTCCTTCTTGAGCATCTGTTTCGAGAGAGCAGTGCGCAGAGCAGGTAAACACAGAGTCCTGACAGGCTGGAAGCAAGCCCAAGGCTCTGAAACAAGGGTGCGCAGAAGAGGGGACAGTTCTGACGGGGTCAAACTATGCCAGGCTTCCAGGCACACCCCCAGAACTGTTCTTCCTGGTGCTGCAGCGGCTGACCCCAACAGGGACACGTGCACCCTGCCCAGTCAATGTCTGAAATGCGTGTCACTTCCCATCTGGTTCTTCTTGTTAAGAAACCTGAACACAGAAGACTTCCTTCTGCCACAGTCCTCACTGGAGTACACAACAAATACAGTACTTACTGATGGAGGTGATGAGAGAGACTTGGCAACGCCGGCCTGAAGAGAGGTGAACTGTGGTTAGTAGCTTAAATCAATAAAAAAACCTTCTTCAGTAAAAAAACACAGTGTGCCCGTTACAAATGTTATTCTGTTGCGCTGGTATGTTTACAAAGATAGATACCTTAAAAGGAAATGGATGCTATACATATAAAATACATTTGTTGTTATAAATTACACATTGTGCTGTTCTGTATTACCTATTTAACAGATAAATGCACAGTAAATTCTCTATATGCACACATTTATGCAGATTTATGGATGCATGTTCAACAGTGCAAACAGAGTGTGCTTGTGCAAGACAAGTGGACCACCTGTTTCAAAGACTGCTTTTCCTTAGGCAAGATCTTTATTATCAGATGTAAGAACCGTAATAGCAGATACATTGGAAGAAAATACTAAACATTATACAACTTATTTGTCTCTAGAAAATAACAAAGGGGATGCAGTCCATTATCAAAAAGAACTGTGCTCCTCATCTCTAGTAAATGCTTTTACTTCAGGTGTGTTTTGTGGAAAAAAAACATGAAGCATATGGTCTTTGAGTAGTGAATATAATTCAGACTAAGCATTAAGAAATGAAAAATATGTGGAAAGCAGTGTTTTCTAATGCTATGGGGAAAACCAGAATCACCTTGCAGTCAGAACAATTAGAGCAACATCCTGTGCAATGCATTACTGTTGCTCATCACTCTGTCCAGGTGCAGGACAACTGGCTTCATACTTCTTCTTCAAGCCTTTCAAATATATCCGCAAACTGTCTGGATCCAATTGAGAATTTCTGGCAGTCTGAACCAATCTCATTGCTAAATGGTACACAGCTCTCTGTCTCATCATCTCAGGAGTGCTCTTCTGCCTGTGCTGTTCTCAAAAACACACCATGCGGTAAAACAGGAAATCAATTCTCTTCTGCTATTACAATGCTAATATTAGCTATTTTTCAGCCTCCTTCGCACCTCCTGATTCTTGACTTGTACACCAACGCTCCATCCTAAACTCCTTCACCCTAAGGACTGCTTTGGGCTGTCACCTAACAGCAACCTTCAGTGTAGTGTTTTATAACTGGTTCAGAAACACAGATTTTACCGACATCTACTTTGCTAAAACCAGGGGCAGTGCTTCTCCCATGTCCTTCCAGGAACAGACAATGTCTCTGAGTTTTATGAAAACTGAATTACTCCCTTACAATTTTCTATTACATACCAGGATTTGTTTTGCAATGTGATTTGTCATTTCCTTTGCATCCACAATGATAGATGATGGTAGGGAGGAAACTTCTGCAGCTTTTAATCCTAAATATATAAAAAGACAAATCAGGGGTTTTGATGTAATTTTTCCCTACCTTCCACACTATGTCTGCCAGAATTAACTTGACCTATTTTTTGAAGGGAGAAATTTTAATTTTTATTAAAATTATTTTTATATACATTTTCTATTTGTGTCTTGTATTGGTTTTAATAAGCAGTACAGTTTTAAGAGTTACAAACAAACTGTTTCCTGTGTTACCTCTGAGATAGGCTTCTACAAGAAGTTACTGCTGGCAGCACTGTAACTGTGCAGGATGAGGCACATGAGGGGTTAAAGCTGAAAAATGGCACGCTGGTGCTAGCAGCTTCTCTGTTCAATTCTTTTAATTGGGCAGGCCAGAAAATGCTGTGGTTGTGCTAAATGCACTCTCCCTTTAACCCACATATCTAGTGGATACGGAAAGGAAGAGATGTATGTTTTTGTCCCTGCACTAACACACTTTTTTGCCCTCTGCCTGTGGCCCTGGCTGTTCTCAGAAAGCTGTGCTTCCTTGGAGGCTCTCACACTGTAGGGTTAAAAATGAAAAAGGGAACCTGCCCTCTTTCTTAGAATTAAACTTTGCTCAAGTAAGGGCTGTTGCAGCATCTGAAACTGAGCTTGTGCAGCAAAAGGGAAGGAAGCTTATTCTGAAATTCTGATAAAGAAACATTCTAAGTCCAGTCAATGGAAGCCTGACTGGGATAATTCCTAGGCCTCAGTTACCACTAATCTGCAAAAGTCATGTGTAGCTAATTTTCTGCTGATTAAATGTCACCTAAATCAAACTTCAGAATCTAGTATTTGGAAATCTACAGAGTTCTGTAACTCCTTAAAAATGTAGCTATGCCTTACTGTCACTCACTCATTTCTTTATTGACCCATTATTGGCCAATCTGTGCAGTCTTAAATTTGACTCATTCTGAATCATAGAACAGAATCATAGAATAGCTAGGGTTGGAAAGGACCTCAAGATCATCCAGTTCCAACCCCCCAGCCTTTCCTGAGAACACCAATGCTTTAGTGGAACCTCTCAAAATCAGCCTTTGGCTGACACACTGTATAATTCCTGCCATTTTTAAAAGAAACTCTATGCCTTTTTGCTAACCGAAAAAGCCCAAGCTGCTATTTAAATGATATATCATTACATATGGCAGACACATCAGAGAGTTTTACATAAACCTCAGCATTCACAGCTGTAAGTCTCGCCAGAACTTTCACTCACTTCCATCATCACCTCGAGCACTGTGTGCCAAGTTTGGCTCATCTCATTCAGAGATGAATCAAGTAGCTACTCACATTATTAAAATTTTTTTTTTTTATAGAATCACAGAACGGTTTGGGTTGGAAGGGATGTTAAAGATCATCTAATTCCAATCCCCCCACCACAGGAAAGGAAAATTTCATCCAAGTTCTTCATACTACCCCAAAACTAACATCTCACTGCACAGTTAAAACACATAAGCATTAGGAACATATTACAGATCTGCAACTGTAACTCTGAGAGAGATACTAACTCAGGAGGAATCTGTCAGCAGAAAAACACTGTTAGATGCCTATTAACTGAAATAATGTCCTATATGAGGTTTACTAAGTTAAAGTCATAGTAGAATCCATTACCATAGTTCTTTTCCTCTGTATACCCTTTAGAGAGTGTGTAAGTGTAAGCAATTTTCTCCTTATTTCCAGCACTACTTCTCACATGTTGCACTTCAAAATGGTAATTTTCCACATTGGGATATAAAGCATCTATATGACACAGTTCCAGGAAATGTGTAGCAAATAATGTAAATGCCTAAATAAGGAAACAAGAAAGAAAATTTCTGTTGGAAATGATTCTGGAATAAATTACAGTAAATCAGAAAAAATAGACGATCACCTAACTCATGACAGAGGTGAAACTTTCAACCCATCTAACACCATCTTCCTGTTTTCTAAACAAGCCTCCAGCCTGTGTGATTGCTGTGTGGAACCGCCACTGTACTTTGGAAAGGTAACAGCCGATTAAAAAGGTTCAACATTCGAGCATTCGAAGCTGTACGAAGCAAAACTAAAGGGACCAGGTTGTTCCCTTTCTAGACAGAAATGCAAACTTGCATGTATGATAAAATAATTAGAAGGGGGTTTTTTTTGGTTTTGTTTCTTTTCCAAAACAGAATTACCTTTAAATTCAACAGATATTCACAGGCAGCGTAACAAATGCCAATTCCTTCTTCAGCACTGGTACCTCTGCCAAGTTCGTCAATTATGATGAGTGATTTGTCATTAGCATTTTGTATGATGTATGTTATCTAAAAAAATATTTCACATGTTACTATCCCTACAAATCCATTTTTTAAGAACCCCCATTAGGAACAGTGCTGCTCAGAGGGATGCCCAGAGGGATACTCAAGGAATACTCTGCCTTATTCAGATGAAACTTAATATAGAAATTCTTAAAAATCATGTCAGAGCCTTTTCACAGCTTTCCAACAGCTGCCAATTCTAACCAAGCAAAGACTCCTCTTGCAGCATTCCTCCTCTTGTCCATTGAATATATATCACTTTCCCTCAAAACTGTATCATTTTGGGAAAGGGAACTGAGGGAGCTTAGGCTCATTTAAGGTCCAAGGAACAATAAAATGTCAAAACTACTGTCCAACAGAGCACTGATTTTTACTTGTATTGGCATATCTTGTTATTTAAGATATGCCTGGGTTTCTGTGGTTTATCATTAAGTAACAGACGACAGCTGAATTTCTGACTACTTTTAAAAGTACATTCTTTCAGTGGAATTATACTAGTACAATGCTTACTAGCCTAACAGTAAAAATGGGCCTTGGACCCTGACTTAGCCATGTTTAATACCTCTTTCATTTCCTTCATGAACGTTGAGGCATTTGTTTCTATATCATCATCCATACCTATTCTGGTAAATATCTGCTCTGCTATTCGAAAGGAACAATACTCTGCTGGGACATAAGAACCTATAAAACAAGTAAAATATGAGTTTTCTCATATCAGTGTGACATGACAATCTGGAACTTGCAGTTGTTGGGGACTGCACCCACAAACACATGGTGGACAAATTTTATTCACCACTTCTAAGTAATTTCATCCTAATAGGGACAGCGTCAGCCTATTAAGGTGTTTCTTCCATGCTACCAGCCTGCTGTGGAACAGGTGGTTACCTCCATCTTTAAGGTAAAAAACATGAGGAGTATAACTGAGACTCATCCCTGTACTCAGGAATTTCTCATGTTCCTTTTGGATTACCAACGCATATGTAGCTTGATGAGCATACTTCAAGGACACTTGCTATCAGTCTAATATAAGGTGCTAGACTGGGTTAAGGCGCTCCAAAGGGCTGAAGCACACAACTGTACCTCTCCTAAGAACAGACTGGGGAGGCTTCCAGATACACAAACAGGGCCAGTGGCAGACCCAAAACCTTGCAGTGGCTTCTGTCAGCAACACAAGAGCTGACAGACTTGACAAAGTCTGACAAACAGACTAAAAAACACCTGGCACCATTTAGACAGAATCTTATTCTAGGAGCCAAATCATTCAACTTCAGAAATATTTTTAAGTGGAAAACAACTGTCTGCAGAAGATTAGTAACACAGAACATTATTACTCACCAATCTGTGCCATAATTTGACAAAGTGCAATCTGTTTTAGGTATGTTGATTTTCCACTCATATTTGGTCCCGTAATAATGACAAAATTGTTACCCTCTGTCAGATATGTATTGTTAGGCACAGGTTTTTCCACAGCTATCTTTTCAAGAATGGGATGCCATCCCTGCTTGATCGCTAAAGTATCCGTAAATTCTGGACGAACTAAAGCAGAAAAAGGATACAGGACACTGCAGAGTTGGTATGGAAAGCTTCACATTTTTAAGCTAGTGAGTTCTGACAAAAAGTCATTCTTGCAGAGCAAAAGCCAAACTCAGACTCTGTTCCCTGATTTTCACTTTCCTGTAGAGAGCAAGACTGACATGCAGCACTTGGGAAGAATTACCAGCCACTTTCAGGTACAGATTCTGACTGTCATGCAAATCTTCATGACTTGTTACTACAGAAAGAATCCCATAACACTTCATTTCTAAATTAACATTGTGTTTGTGTTCTGCAGTAAGTATGGTTAGACTCCAGTAATAAACTACAAAGAGCAAAACTTGAAAAGTAATTAAAACAGAAAACCTGAAAGCCAGTTTCATAACTAATATATCCTTATTAATTTATTTTTATACTGCTATGAGCACATCAAGTACAGGGGTCATCGACCCTGTTACTACTACTTATGTACCTTGTTACACAAGCACAAGAAAAGAGGAAGTAGCATTCCTTCTATTTCTGTTCTATGTTATTGCATTGATCATTTAAGGTCCCTTCCAACCCTTGGGATTCTGTGATTATCTGGGTACGCACTATGCCTACAAAGATCCACTTGATACTATCTGTATGCATTTCTGTCAGAATACAGTTCTTCTCTGAACCTGTTCCGTATGTTCTCTTTGTCCACCTCAATGGCAGCACCCCTGGCTAACAAAGTGTTGCTAAATTTGGCAGTCCGCTTAAATGGAGCAGACTTCAAGAGAGAAGTGCTAAAACAGTTTCTCAGCTTTAAACACTGGGGAACTCTAATTACCTGGTGTAGGTTTTAGTCACTTAATGATTTACAAGAGAGAGTCAACTGGTAAAGGGGACTGAAAGCTACATATGACAGTACGTTTCTTTTAGTGGATGCACATTCATGCCTGGCTGTGGAAACTGCAGGTGTAGATTTATGGGAGAAGCTAAGTGGCTTTGGTCTTGTTATTACTGCTGAAGAAGACTTGTGCTCTGATTCATCTGGTGGGAAAGACTGTAATGCTTCCATCACATCAGGTAATGCTCAGTTCAGTTACATATCAATTCATATGTTATGACTGGAATGACCAGCACATGAAGATTCACAGTCCAAACTGCGAAGTAAACTGATCCTGCTCGTGAACTGAGAATTACATAGCAGCACCAGTAATGATGGGCTAATACATCTCCTGAAAGGGCTTCTAGACCTGATTAAGTATCTACACCGTATTGTACTGGAGGTAGGTATTCCAGCTCAGCACTAATTGAAGACAACGTGATCATTTGTACATTGCAGAACTGGGCAAGAGAAGCGGGAGAAACAATATGACAGTAAGCATGTGATCCTGGATTCCTTACAAGAGTCTATTTCCAAAAACATCTAGATGTGCTACAGAAATTGAAGCAGATAAACAAAGGTAGCCACATATTTTGTTTTATGCTACTTAGTGTTGATCTGCTTATATTATCTTGTGTCCTTTCAGAACAGAAGTGTAAACTCAGAATGTTCACGGGCTTTGTACTTTTCAATAGAATATGCTTAAACTGAAAAGACTTCTGAAAAAGACTGGCTGTGAAGGCTTACAGGATCTAAATGGCAGAATGCAATTTCAGTGAATGGAAAGAACATCAGCACAAAACTGGCAAGGATTGGCCAGAGACACTCATATGAAGTCTACTGAGACCTAGAAAATGAAATTGTGGACTTAGCAATTGGAAAACCAGACAAAACAGCCTGGATATGCTCCAGCAGGAGGGACTTTACCTGGCCCATGACAGAATCAAAGAAGAAACTTACCATAATCAGAAAGGGTGCAGGCATGGGCAAATGAAAGCAGCATATCCAGCATGGACACAATGTCAGACAGCTTGTATAGGCAATGAATGTGTTCATAGATCTCGCTCAGTAGCTTACATACTATTCTGAAATAAGACAGCAATTTAGTTGTTCCACAGTACACTGTCACTTCATACAACTTACAGAAATAAAGCAAGTTAAAAATGTTCATACTACATACATTAGGATAGGTGGTTACTCATAAAATGCAATCATTTCTGCTAGATGCAAGCAAATGTATACATTTCTTTGAAGCAAATTAAGATTTTATATCATCATCTCAGATTAAATTCTCCCATCAGACCCAAGACTCAAATAGCAACAGCTCATAGGAAAGCTTCACAAAGGGAATGAACTAAAAATACAGCTATGGAAACAAGTATATTTTATTAACACATCAAATGCAATTCTAAGTCCCTTAGGCCTTCATGTTAATAAAACCCCCATATGGTTTCTAGAAAGAATTTCCATAAAACTGACATGCAATGTTATGCTTAGTGAATCTCCTGGAACAGACAGCAGAGCAACATGACAGCAGCAAGGGCAAAATACAGAAACAGACAGTTCTCCTGCAAACGCAAGGATTCTGCATTACAAACCTAATGCATTCATTGTGTCATTTTGCATAGATAAGTCACCCATAAAAAAATTAATATATATGATGGCCACCCTTATTAAAAAGTGCCAATATGTCTGTAATCACACTTAATACAATACACACTTTGTGGTTTGGTTGGGTTTTTTTTGGGGGGGGGGGGTTCAGGAAGTACATGTCCTAAGTGTCACTTTGGATTATTTCTGCAAGTGGCCACAACTGAACAGAAATCCAGCTTTAAGAAAGTGTGTAAGTAGCTGTTAATTGGACAAATCCCATGGAATTAACAAATATTAAATGGTCTTACAAGTAGGTCATGTGATATATTTCTCTCAGGGACTCCTGACATCTTTCATTCATCTTTATTAAATCTGCTGAAGTGAAGCTATATGTGTTTTTCATTTTGGTGATCTACAGAAAATACAAACCAACAGTAAGAGCTGGCCATATTATCAGAAACAAAAAATAGTTTCTAAAATGTAAACTGGGAGCAATCGGGGGGGGGGAAGGATGGGTGGAGCAGGAGAAACAATGCCTGGTTTCATTTTTTCCATACACATTTTTATGGAAAATCCATGTAAGAGAAGCAGTTATCAGCAAGATATATAACTTTATCTTCACATACAACATAACTGCATGTGATTGCACATTTCTCACTATATTAATTAGAAATAGGGCAGTTATAAAAACATACCCATTACACCTTCATTTACTTCTAGATATCTTTACTGAAATTATTTTAATTGTTGCTTAAATTACCATTTAACGTGTCCTTTAATAATGTATTCTACATTTTTTATATACTAAGTATACAAACATATTATGCAAAAACATATCTAGTACAGATACCTTTGTAAATTCTGAAGGAAGTTGGCCATTGGGTAATGCTGAACAATCAATATTCATCTGGATAAAAAACCCACGAGCAGAGCTGAAACTTGTTTTCATTGGCAGGTTGTACTTTTCTGCAAGCTGTGTGATCATACCTATATACCATAAATACAGAGTGGACCCAAATTACACAGAGACTTGTGCATGCACACATATACGTGTTTGCTTTGGTACAAAGACACATACTGTTAATGAGATTTATAGGTGCTGCATGTATCAGGTAAGCAACATGACAAAAGGCCTTAGAGGCAGGTCTCCAGGGAGTTACTGAAGTAACTTATTAATGTAACAGATGTGGCTGCATAAAGCTATTGAGAAAAAAAAAAAAAATCCAGTGGAGAATCAGATAAATTCATGGGGCTTTTAAAGGCAGGTCATGCATCCGACCGACTCCCACATGGGCCTAACGATGGCAAGGAAAGTTTGCCCAAGCACCTAGTGTCACTGCCTCATCGATAGTGAGAGACGAGAGATGATGAGTGATGAGAGTGATGAACTCAGAAACTCTCAGTTTTTAACCAGTTCATGATTCTAAGCAATCTTCTTCCCCCAGACTGAGGGGTGTGCTTTACATTTGTGATCCCCCCCTTAAATCCATCTTGTTCCTAGCTGAGAAGATACCATATGTGGGGAAACTGTTAGATGATAGAAGAACATGTAGTGTTAAATGATGGGAATTCTGAATACTTCAAAGATGGTAATGGTGTAGTACTCCTGCAAGAAGAAAGGATGGAGTTCCTTAGTGGTCTTTCCCTGCTGCTCAAGGCTCTAAGCTTACCCACTCTCATATTCCAACCACTCCAAATGTAGACTAGCAATTGAGGACATTCTGTATATAGAATCACAGAATGGTTTGGACTGGAAGGCATCTTTAAAGAATTTAGTCCAGCTCCTCTCCCATGGGCAGGGACATCTTTCACTAGATCAGGTTGCTCTAAGCCCCATCCAACCTGACCCTCAACACTTCCAGTGATGGGGCATTCAGAACTTCTGTAAAAAAACTGTTTCAGCATCTCATCACACATTATAAAAAAATTCTTATGTTCAGCTTAAACATATCCTCTTTCAGTTTAAAACCACTGCCCTTGTCCTTTTAGCATAGACCCTGGTAAAAAAAAAAAAAAAAAAAAAGGTCTTTCTCCTTCCCTCTGAAAAGCCCCATACTGAAAAGCCCCATATTGTTTACATATCGAAGGTCTCCTTGAAGCCCTCTCTTTTCCAGGCTGAATAGTGCCTAGTCTCTCAGCCTTTCTTCAAAGGAGAGGTGTTGCAGCCCTCTGATGAGTTTTGTAGCCTACACTGGACCCACTCCAACAGGTCCTTGTTGTTCTTGTGCTGGAAAACCTAGAGCTGGATACAGTACTCCACTGGGGTCTGACCCGAGCAGAAGAGAGGGGGAGAATCTCTCTCCTCAACTTGCTGGTCACGCTTCTTGTTTATGTAGGCCAGGACACAATATGCTCTCTGAGCTGTAAGCACACATTGCCAGCTCATGTCCAATTTTGTGTCCACCAGTATCCCAACATCCTTCCCTGCAATCCATTCATTACCCAGCCCATACTGATACTGGGGACTGTCCTGACCTAGGTGCAGGGCCTTGCATTTCAACTTGCTGGACTTTAAGAGATTCTTATAGGCCCACCCTCAAGCCTCTCATGGTCCCTGTGGAAGGCATCTGCTCCCTCCCACCAATCAATTGCACCACTCAGCTTGGTATTGTCCACAAACTTGCTGAGCGTGCATTCAATCCATGTCCATGTCACTGATGAAGATGGTAAATTGTATTTGTCTCAGTATGGACCCTTGAGGGACACCACTTGAGGGTTTCCACTTGGACATTGAGCTGTCGCTCACTGGATGTGGCCATTCAGCCAATTCCTTATCCATCTCATATCTACCTCTCATTCCTTAGTCTATCTGTCAAACCCATCTCTCTCCAAATTAGCAGCAAGGATGTTGTAGAGGACTGAATCAAAGGCTTACAGAACTCCAGGCAGACAACATCAGTATTTCAGTCTTAGTCACTTAAGAGTTTAATCCAGTAACAAGGAAAAGAGAAAAGAGTCCCTTCTGCAAGCGTGTGGGCTACAGGGAAAACAGGCACACGGAAGACTTTCACACATGCTGGATTCCCAGCAGCTACCAAATACTGGAAGGTTTAGGAAATGAAAAACAATAGCCTCTGTACTTTTCACTGTGTACTATGTAGAATATAAGACTAGAAAGGAAGCTCAGAACATATGACAGATGCTAAAGTTTCTGATGCTCTTTTAAGTTTCCAATTACATAGTAAATGAAGAAGATGGTCCTCTAGCTAGAAATCAACATCTTATACTAAAAATGGAGATCCATTCCAGAAGGCTGGGGTTTTTCTTTCTCTTTTGACTGATTAACAGGAAGATTACTAAAGCACAGTAACAGACATGATGGTAAAATTCCTTTCATTTGTGTTTTCCAACTCTTAGTAGCTTGGCTAAAAAGCAGTTCATAGATCAAGACTGCTTAAAATATAAAGAACACAGAATTCTGATATTTTAAGTCAATAAGCTAAACTAAAGATTTATCTGCTTTATGCAGAATGTTTTAGGTGGAATAACTCTGTTACATTACTTTAACTTTATTGTACTTTCAGAGAATAAGGATCAACAGACTTAAATATAGGAGCCACAATACAGTTGTTCAACTTCATTAAATAAAACTGAGTTTTTACCTACAAAAAGGAGAATCTCTGTATGTATCTTAAAAGTACTTCGGTTACTTATCAATGCCAATCAGTTTATAGTAACTATTTTTTACACATTAGAAGGTTACAACAGATAGGATTATATGGCTTCTATATGCCACGTGCAATATACTTTGAACTTCAAATAAAAAACAACTTGGTTTAGAAATACCTGCTATGTCATCAACAATTTCTGTGTATGTTCTACGAGCTATGTCGAGGAATTCATTGATGTTAGGCTTAACAGCATAGCACTTCTGGGTCCTCATGCTCAGACATCCTTTTGTGTACCTTGTATCGTCATTAATGACAGTTGTAATCTTTTCAAGTATAATTCCAAATCTGCAATATTAGTTGTATTGCTAATTAGCTACATAATATTTTACTATTTTTATTTGTAATAGCATCCCAAAATTACAAATAAGAGCATTACGAATTACTGAAGCAAGTTATGCACTGTTAAAACAAACCACTAAATTTCATGTCTACTTTTGCCTCAGAATGAAGTATGACTATAGCCAACTCTGACCAAAGATGTCATTCAAATGTTTGGGAGATAGAAATTATTTCTCAAAGATACAGGCAACTCTTGATTTTTGCATTGCTATGGGGATGCTGGGAAATCACTACTTTTGTCTTCTCAGAATTATTTCTAAAAGAGTTCAGTACATCAGCAACTGAAGTGTCACAACTAACTTTCTGGTTCACTTCCCCCCCCCCCCCGTATTTTTTGTTAGTTGAAAACCAGATTTTTTGACAATTAAAATCAACTTTTAGGCAAAAGAACTGAGCTATACCTGTAACTACAGATAAGCAACGATGCAACATCTTAATTCTCACACACATTCTTAACATAAGAGCTTCTAACACACTAGCTAAAGTATCCTGATAAATACCTTGTATCTTCAAGAGAACTGTAATAAGCCTTTAGCAGCGGTGTGGTACAGTTTCTTAAAGCAGCCTGTTGAAGAGTAAAACATGGACGTGAAGAGTTAGGGAGTTTTTTAGCCCTTTCAAAGGACAAAGTTGTCAGATTCACTGAGGCTACATCAGTGGTTGGATAATCTGAGCAGGAGTTTCAGTTAAAGGTCTGTTATAAAATCAATTATTCAGGTAATGGTAGGAATCCAGTCCTTAAAAGAGTATCAGACTCAAATACGTATTTCCAATAATCTTAAGAATTAACAGACTGTGTTGACAGGATCATGTTCTGATAGATTGAAGTAAACTTACCTTTTTTTTTTTTTTTGACTTGATGATACCTATTGGTCCCTTCCAGCTTGAAATAGTCTATGAAATTTAACAAACTGCACTGTATAAAAATAAGGACGAAGCAGTCTGTGCTTTATAAAAAAAATGGCATAACTTACCTTTAGAGGCTCCACAAGTTCTAGGGTATGTTTCAGGTAGATTAAATTAGTTATTTTTGATTCAGCAGTTTTAACCTGTTGAAAAATTTTACAAATATTGGAGGTGTTTGTATGTCTGCCTGTTTGAAGAAGTACTTAAGAACTAGCAGAACTCATACTGTTAACTGTAACACCTTTGTACTTTTAATAAAAAATGCCACAATACTTTATAAGCTCACTTCGACAACTTGATGTGTAACAGCGTAAAAAAATGCTTACCTAAATTTTACATTGCCTATTGTGATAGCTTGCCTACCAGTAGCTAATATTTTCATTTGTCTGCACTGGTAACGATTGACCAAGCCACGAAAACTTCTAATCTCCTACATAGCTCTGTAAGCTCTACAAGCTCATAAACTCTTTCAAATACAATACATTATTCACAACAATTAAGCAGCATAGCCCTTTTCAGAAATGATGTTAAATACAACATAACCCAATTTGGTTGACTTATCCTTGGTTAATATATTTATGTCCTTAAACATCTACCCTTGTAATTAAAAATAAATCCAATAAATGTTTAAAAGTTTTGCTTACATTAATGACTAACTTAACCATGTTTTGTCCACATAGCCATTCTAACTTGTTTTCTATGCCCATTAATATTTACAGTAAAAAATTTTGCTGATGATATTAGAGCATAGCATGTGTAATGCATAGCATATGTACTACGTATACACTGTGTGAGGGATTCTAAGAAACCAACATAGATAAGCACACTGTTTGGTTCCGAAGAAAACCTAACGTCCGTTTTCAGTACAAATGTAGGAGTTGACCCTGTGTGAAATCTTTTCTTCTTTGTATATAATAACTCTTTATTCCTGTGGTAGAGGGCATCCCTTGCCTTATCTTAACCTTCTATATGAAGTAATTTTTCTGTAAAAGACAAGACTAAATAATGCTACATGTATGAATGGAAGAATCATGATCTGCAAATACATGTGGGGTCTAAGTCCCATGATGGAATTGGACATCAAAAGGACAGACACGGTCAGACGTGTAGAGCTGGTATTCACAGAGTGCACCTTGCTAGAATAGTTCTTACAGGAACTAACTGGTGTTAAAAGAGGATCTTTGTACATGCTGCACTTCAGGCTCAAAGGGAGAAAATGAACAAATACAGTCAATAGTCAGTAACTCTTCCATATAATGTTACTTCTTTTAGACTCATTAATGACTAAAATGCAAGCCTGTCCTTTATGGAGTCTTCACCAACATTTGTTTACAAACTAGTTAGGAACAGGAGCTGATCTCCAGTCTAACAAACACACTGCGGTACACTGAAGGAAGAGAAACCTTACTTTCACAGTATGCTAGAGATTGGAAGGGACCTCGAAAGATCATCTAGTCCAATCCCCCTGCCGGAGCACGAACACCTAGATAGTGTTACACAGGAATGTGTCCAGGCGGGTTTTGAATGTCTCCAGGGAAGGAGACTCCACAACCTCCCTGGGCAGCCTGTTCCAGTGTTCCGTCACCCTCACTGAGAAGAAGTTTCTTCTCAAGTTTAAGTGGAACCTCTTGTGTTCCAGTTTGTACCCATTACCACTTGTCCTATCATTGTTTGCCACTGAGTAGAGCCTGGCTCCATCCTCGTGACACTCCCCCTTTATATATTTATAGACACTTATAAGGTCACCCCTCAGTCTCCTCTTCTCCAAACTATAGAGACCCAGCTCCCTCAGTCTTTCCTCATAAGGGAGATGCTCCACTCCCCTAATCATCTTTGTTGCCCTTCGCTGGACTCTCTCCAGCAGCTCCCTGTCCTTCTTGAACTGAGGGACCCAGAACTGGACACAATATTCCAGATGGGGTCTCACCAGGGCAGAGTAGAGGGGAAGGAGGACCTCTCTCGACCTACTAACCACCCCCCTTCTAATACACCCCAGGATGCCATTGGCCTTCTTAGCCACAAGGGCACAGTGTTGGCTCATGGTCATCCTGTCGTCCACTAGGACCCCCAGGTCCCTCTCCCCTACACTGCTCTCTAACAGGTCGTTTCCCAACCTATACTGGAACCTGGGGTTGTTCCTGCCCAGATGCAGGACTGTACACTTTCCCTTGTTATATTTCATCAAGTTATTCCCTGCCCAACTCTCCAGCCTGTCCAGGTCTCGCTGGATGGCAGCACAGCCTTCTGGCGTGTCAGCCACTCCTCCCAGCTTAGTGTCATCAGCAAACTTGCTGATAGTACACTCAATTCCCTCATCTAAATCGTTGATGAATATATTAAATAATACCGGTCCCAGTTACTTTAATTAATTTTGGTTAAAAATGTTACACTGTGATTTTCAAGGTGTAGAGATTAAACCTTTCTCAAGCTCCTAAAAGACTTCAAATGGGAAATTCATTATAAACACTGAGGAGGAAAGAGAGGTTCGAAGGAATCTGATCTGAAGGTATATTCAGTAATTTTCCCAAAGGTGATCTGTGATGGAAACCTTCTCTGTCAGCCAAGCTCCTGAATGCACTCTAATGGATGTCACGGGAGGTATACAACACTCATACAGACCAAACCCATGGCTGCCACTGTCATGCAGATAAGGAATAAAACACCTTCCTGCTGAAGCCTGAACACAAGCAGATAAAAGTATTGCTTGTCTTTCAACTAAGCTATGTTATTCTAAGCATTTATAGCTTTATTGTCTAGTTGCACTTTTATGAATAAATGCTTTTATCTGCATTTCATTTTTGACTTGTGAGATCACAGAATCCTAGAATAGTTAGATACATGATTTAATGTAGCCAGGTACTCTTTCAATCTGTAAAACAGGACCATGAGGAAACTTAAGAGTAATTGTTTCTTCAATACATTACTTATCTCTTGTATTCAAACGTTAACAGAGAAGCATGGGTCAAGAACATGATGCACAAATGACTTCCAAACACTATTCATAACCTAAAGATCTCTCTGTTATGTGCTTGAGACATACATCTTATCCGCTTTTGAGAACAGTCAGTGTAGGGGCAACTTCTGCCTCATTTTGTACTGCTTATGCTATGCAAGTGAGTATATTGTTTCTGTCAGCTCATTGTTGTTCAGAGGTTGTTCATTAACCCCTGCATGAAAAAGCTGCACTTGGTTCACAGAGCATCTGTGCCTTGGAAATTAACAGGTAAGTTCCATTTCTGGCTCTGTATGTTTATATGACTGACTTAGTTCATCTGTTTTGTATGCAGAGCTGAGAAAAGTCAGAATGCTTCCTAAGAATCTTTCTCAAAATATTTTTTCAGGCAATAAAGACTAATTTCTATTCACCTGTATTACATGAAAATCAAGAAATTATTTATTTTCTAGTAAGAAAGATGTTTCATTTTCTTTAGGCTATCAAAAAGTTTATCGACCTCCAAAAATAAGAGTAAATTTCTGTTATACACTTTTTACTCTTAGGCTGATGCAAAGGACATTCCTCTCTCTCATCATAGTACTGTCAAACAGCATGTATGCATATGAAGACTAAAGGTGGGGAATGATGAAAAAGTAAAGAGTATTGAAGTCAATTTGTATAAGTTTAGATAAATGTGATATTGAAGCAAACAGAAATTTTTCTAATATTCTTCTATGAGAATCCTCTACTGCTGTAAAATATGATCTACTCTCAATCTATAATAGAATTATTCCATGTGGTTTTAAGGTACAGTCTTTTTCTTATCGTATCACACATATTTACAGATATCACATTTATATATTGCACATCTTAGCCAGATAACTCGTAATCTAAAGTGTATTTCAAAACATACTGTATCCTGCTTTGGAATTTGTACCAAAACTGAAAGTAGTTGTTCTGTATCCAGGAATTTTGAGATAACTGTAAAACAAAAGTACAGAACAGAAAATGAACTATAATTATAGTAAAATCAATTTTTTACACTGATTAATTTATGTTAATTTTTTCTTTCGTTCTATTTTCATAAATTCTTTACCAAGTTAAAAATTGGGTTAAAAATAGCTGCTATCTCAATTATTTACTGTATCTAAATATTATTTACTGGAGGTCATATATCAATTCAGCAATATTCTTTTGTTAGATTGAATCATATTTCTTCTATGATTAAGATTACATGATCCAGCTTCAAGGGGACTAACTCATACTCTGGTACAGTCTTTATTTTACATTTGTCTAGGCCACTGCTTTACGGAGCAATGACAAAAGAACAATGCATACACAAGTATTACAGCAGTGATGCCTTTGGTTTTAATGTATACATTATACGTACTTGTATTCTTCCAACATAGTGTGTATGTAGCCATAGAGATGAAGAGTTAAACTTTTTGAAAAAGCTATTGGCCTGCTGACTTCTACCCACTTTAAGCAGAGAAATTAACTTTTCTTTGCAAAATACTTGAGAAAAAAACATCACTATCAAATAAAGATTACTTCAAAAATTAAGTGCCCACTATGTCACCTGACAATCATAAAACCCAACTTTTCAAACATATTGTCACCCCGCATACTTTCGTCTATCAGAAATAAATGCTTAAAAAGAAATGTAATACTATGAATTAAAAAATAAACTGCTACCTGCTTGAAGACCAAAAAAGAGCTCCTCATCCTGGAGGAATTCCTGAACACAGTCCAGTCTTGTGTTAATTGTTTCAGTGTCTGTTAGTGGCTCCAGGATATTGGATCTAAGTCTTCGACTTCCACCCGGAGTTTTGGTGTAGTTTAGTACACCGAAAAGTGTGTGACCATTCCTTTGAAAACAAAATGGATTGGAGAATACACTCACAAAGATGGTAAATGTCAAGGACATTTTCAGGTAAGAGTACCCTACAAATCTGAGACATGCTTTTGGGATATTTAACACCTCCCTGTTTGCCATGTGTATTATATGAACTACAGCAGTTTAGGCAGTCAGGCAATTTAATGCAATATTATCCCTCATTATATCATTTTCTTAAATACAGAAATTCATTTGTATTCAGTATTTTCTTCATTCTTTTGTGGTAGTATTCCATTCCTACTGCAGTGGTGCAGTTCACATTTTTCTTCTCAGTTGAGCTAATTAAAACCAAACAAACCCAACAGAAGGAGGCAAATTAAAGAGTCTGAGATCAAACACTAATCTGAACATTTCCGTTAAAATACATTTCTGAAAATTACTTCAAATCCTTACAAGTTCAAGAAAGAATTAAGCTTTGGATTTATTTTTTGAAAGAAATGACTTACAGCCATTATAGGAGACAACATGCTAATGATCTGTAAATAATATTCTCATGTTCATGGCTTTTACATGTTACACCCCAGAGCTTCACACTTAAGGGTTGATTGTATCTGTTTAAAATAAACAGCCTATAATATTTACATCTAGTACATACCAAACAGTTTTAGAAACCTGAAGCCTTCAACACTACTGGCTTGAAAGAAGACCACATAAACACTGTGATTGAAAGGAGAATTTGAATAGGAAGAAATCAGACACCAAACAACATAAAGATAGCTAGGCAGTACAGAAACTCCTGAAATATCATGATCCAAAAGAAGAAAGCAATAGTCAAGAGAATTAAAAAAACGGTAAAATTCAAAGCCAGTTTTATTAAGGACATACTTACCATGAGCTGCAATTCATAGCAACAATTAAAGGGAACTCTACATTTGGGATAGTATCCACACTGCTTACCTTTAAGCAACTGAGGGCTCATTTCCTGTACAGTAAATGAAAAGAGATAAGCCCCTTCAGATACTGCCACAAGAACCTGATTCAGGTGTTTCTGGTGTGTGCCTGTACTATTAACATTTACCTGTTAATATCTGATAAAAAGATATCAAAATAGGCTTTAGGGGTAATATTTAGGTCATGGAAACAGCACTGTCTGGTCTGATTCAGGCTTGCTACTGGGTCAGCAAAAAATTGTGCAGCTATAATACTAAAAATACTAAAAAAAAAAAAAAAAAAAAAAGCAGCAGTTTATTGCTGCTCAGGTCCTCCTCCTTCCTCTCTTAGAGCAGCTTTCAGAGAAACACTACTCTGAGGGTGCCAATCCTACAGGCTGGCTCCTGCAGTTACATATGAAGTGATGGAGCAAACAAGAAGAAACTGAGGGCAAAGCATGGCAGATGAACAGAAAGAAACCATAGTTACCACCCTCTTCTGAAAGAACAGATCTAACTTTGTTCTCTGTGATCCCCACAAGAGAAAACCAGGGAGAAAAACAGAGCAAGAGCCAAGCAAGACAAAACACAAAAGAACAGTGGTAAGGGTGGCTGATCTCGTCAAAGGTGCCCCTGCCCAGAGCAGGGAGCTTGGAACTAGAAGATCTTTAAAGGTCCCTTCATACCCAAACCATTTTATAATTCTGATATACTTCTAAGCAGAAAGCTTTTACAAGTAATACTTGGAGAGCGAGCAATCTCCAGGCTCTCCTTTTTATATCACGGTGATGAGTGGACTTAAGAGCAGAGGTGGATCTCAGAACTTGGCAGGCAGCCAGTTCTAACCAGAAGTGTAACAGTCTTGAGAAGGTAACTCTTGCAGTTCCCCTTCTGCCTAGAAAGCAAGGAACTCCTGGTGAAAGAAGTGTTCCAGGCATTGTTCTCACTGTGGAGAACAACTTGCCACTAGTCCTTAGAAGTAAAGGAAAACAAAACAATGTTTCAAGCCTGTTTATCTTGTGTAAAATGAATAAAATCCAGGCAGTTTAATCCAACATAAGCTACTTCTTATGGACGTGTTACCTCTTTCATTTCATGATCTGTGAAATTTTGCATCAATATCATTTTAAGTTTACACTGATTCAAAGATGACTACGTGTCATCTTTCTGCAATTCATTTGTGGGATTCCTATGCTAGAAATTTTGTGCTGAATTGTAATGTATTTCTCTGTCCAAGTATTTTCTGTAAGCTCTGAATGGTGTAAGATCTGTCATACAGAAATAAATATATTGGTCAGCTCTTTGACACAAACATCAAGAACACTTGGTAAAATACAACTTTAAAAAATGCAATTTGTAAACTTAAATATTCTTACCGAGAATCTCTGTTATTAATCACTAATTCCAGATTTTGTGCTGATGATGTATCTATCATGGCTGTTTTCTCACTCCCCTGGAAACGCACCTTGAGCGATTTAGGAGCATAAACCGAATTCTGAATAAACTCTACATATTTTAGCAAAGCTGCAGCAGCTGCAAGACAGTAATACCTTGGAAAGAAACAATCTTTAATGAATGTTGAACAGGGCTACTGAAATACCACAAAACCAAACTCTGCACTGCAGAGATTATATTCACACTTGTGCTTGACAACTACTGGGATTGATAGCACTGAAAACACAGTATGTTTTAGGTATGCACTAACCCATGAATAGTGCACATATACGGATGTAAATAAAACATTCATGTTTGACTGTTTGTACACGTGACACCCCACACTATATACCTGGTACTTCAAACATACATATTTCAGTACATGACTTCAAGACCCAGGTCACCAAGGACCACTACTTAAAATTGCTGGTACAAGGAAAACAAAGAGAAGAAAGTGGAAAGCTATGAAAACAAAAACAAAATCAGAAAAAACAAACAAACAAACAAAAAAGAGGCTGTAACGGGCTTTCTATGCAAGTTTCTAGATGTATCAGAAACATCCGAGGGCAGAATAAAAGACCAGCTCTCTTCTGGTTCCCTAGCTTTTGCACCAACCCACAAGACTTGGGTGCTAAGTATGCAAAAAGGTGTTAAAAACTTATCTGAACACCGTGTGTTTTTTCCTTATTTCAACATACTTTGACTGAACCTCCATGAAAATGGTGCTGAATTCAGAGGCACACAATTGTTCTACGTATTCCAAACCCTTAGTTTCATTGAAATATTTTCTTTGCACAGTTGTAAAAGTCACATTCTGTGAAGATGGAGGGGAAAAGCAGATAGTTTTAAAAGTTACAAAGATTTTTATCATCAGACAGACTTCTCTATTTTTCTAGTGATATGTGTTTCCAAGAAAATCTATCGTTTAGTTTAGCAATCTGTGTAAGTATTCATTCTAGCTTATCAGCACAAGCAAGCCACGCTACTGCCACTCATCTTTCCTTCTCTTTGCTAGTAAGTACATACAAATAGGCTCATACTACTGTTTTGAGCAAATTAATATAGGCTTTTTCTTGGATATTGCTCTTGCTCTCAAGAACAAGACAAAGAACTTGGATTTGGTTAAAATTAATGACGTCATGGAAAGTTATTTTCATGGCAGCATCAATGCTGACATTGAAACTACAGTTTTCTCTTGCCAAGGTTTAAGCCCAAGGGATCATTATCAAGCTCTCAGCAGTAAAATGGCAATAAAGATACACAGGTTAATGTAATGGAATGCGTGGGATGTGCAAGCGGTATACGCAAAACAAAGAGGAGAGGTCAGGAAGCAGAAAAGGACTCGTGAAGAGGCCACCAGCAGTACAGACAAGGGAGCACTTAAAGCAGTATTCAATACAGAGTTTTTTAAAACTTCTGAGGCTTTGATACTTACAAATTACATACACTATTTATCTCATGATCTTTCACCCTGCAGTGCTCTTTCTTCTATAGCCCCATCTATTTATCAGGTTGAGAGAAAACAAAAAAGGAGCAAAGGAAACTGCTTGATTTCTTTTAACCTCTGAGTCCTTCCTAGGCTCAGTATTAAAATTATTTCAATACTATAAATTTGAAACTTGGGTCTTTAATCAAAAATATACTTATCTCTGCAATTGTCAAGATTAGATCTACTAGTGCTAGAACTGCATTTAGATTATTCTTTACCATGGTAAAATTAGGCCCAAAAATCATAAACCACACAAAATCTGATTGCATTCAGGGTTTTACAAGTTGTAGAAAGCTCTCAAATCAACAATCGTATAAAAGCGATCAATAAAGACTCTAAAATATTGAATGAAATTTAAGAGCTTACCTTGAAATGTTCTGTTATCAGACTGAACAATTTTGTTGTGTTCCCTGCATCACAAGCAGTGTTTGACATTATGATTTCTAGTGGTGTTAAAATCTTGAGCTTGGTAATGACCTGAACAAAAAAATTATAAAATCAATGAAAATCCATCTATAATCTAAAATATGAACCAGCAATGAAGAATGACAGCATCCTTGTATTTTAAAAATTACAAATATGTGTAATATTGTAAATAAAGACCAAACTTTCTGCTGCATTCTACACCAAGTAAAATTTATCCATATCTATAGATATGGGTATCTAAATATACATGAAACCACATTAACAAAAAATACAGGTATCTATTCCCTGTCCAACACCAAAACATGTTTGTTGTCAAAGCAAGAGATAAATATCCAGAACTGTATTCCATGGCTAAGATGGGAGAAGGACTTATTTTCAACAGACAGCAGCTTTCTGGGCTTGCAGCTGTAATGTTAATGGTGCTCTGGAAGATGAAGAAATGTAACATGTCTGAATATTAATAATCTTTTGATTGAGACTTGCTTTAGACTTTCTTGTAACCTCCTCTTACAACATTTCTCTCATTTTTACACACCTGCTGCAGGGATTCAAAGTACACTAAATGCTTTTCTATTTATTTACTTCATAAGAGAGAACAAACATTAGGCATTTATATAATCAACCACCTATTCTCAAGGAAGAAACATGAAAAAACTTTAAGCGCTTAGAAGTTAAGATGTGATAGAAGGGACAGGTAAAAATGGAAAGGTGAACAAGCATAAAGAAAAAACCCACAAAATATATAATATAAGGGTATTGCAGGGTGGGAGGGAAAGCTACTGCTGCCCATCGTGTCTGGTAATCATTAGAAAGTTTTTTCAGAGGTATCACAGATACAGTGAACCTTGAGGAACTTAAAGAATGCAAGAAAACTTCACTGAATTAATTTATGTAACATTCAAAAATAAAAGTGTACAAGAAAAGTAAAATACAATAACTTTGATATCAATCACTAGCAAAACATGGATAATGACACTGTAAAAAAGCAGCTGATCAGCAGGTAAGACAGTACTGTTAAACATGTTAAAGAATGAGATACAAAACTAAGCCATGTAGTGCCCTTGGGGAAAAGGTCTGAGAGTTGGCTTGTTTTGGGGTTCTTTGTTTGGGATTTTGGTTTTTTTTTGACTGGATGGTCAATACAGTATCAGGTATGCCCACAGACTGAAGAAGTCAGTAATCTAAATGAAAAAATACAAAGATATGTATACAAATAAAAATGCCATCTTTTAGAATAGTAAGGGAGAAAAATACTGAACAATCTGGTCAAGGCCTGACAAGCAGTAACAGAAGATGTAAACTTGACAAGTTACAAGCCTGAGTAACAGAGAAGAAAGTTGTGTTATCATAATTTAAAGACAAAATACGAGTCTTAAGAGAAGTATTTTATCATTAAATGCAAGACAAAAATCAAAAGTAAAGGGATAGGGAGGGAGTTTGGGCAGCTAAAATACTTGCCAGTTTGACAAAGATAAATTTCATGGGACACTAACGCAGCCCTTAACCTTGACACAGCAGAACAGGGAGACCCTAAACACAGCTACTGCTAGCTGAAAAGAAAGCCTTTTACACTTAGAAGTAACTGCAATCTTTACGAAACCATTAAACAACTTCCATAAAATTAATCCAAGATTTCCTTGCAAGATTCTAGTCTTAACATTCTTTTGCTTACACAGGACAGGGTTTTTTCTTAGGTACTAGCAGATCAAGTTTTCACTTTCACACCTTTAAGAGAATGGTTAAGTTGCCACATCATCACCCGAACCTCAACATTTTATCACGCACCCACACTTTCAAGGTGCGCATCTCATTTTGAATTTTAGTGCTGTGTATTACAGAAGTACTTCTGTAGCTGCCAGGTTTAATATGTACCCGCGTGTGTCAAGATCAGGATAAGTTTTAAAAGCACTGCTGATTAAAAACAAAAGAATTACATTAGACAGCATGTTTCAGTAAACAGATTTGATGGCTGTTTATATCCTGAGTCATAGCTACTTATTCTCATAAATTTAGGTTTTATTCCTTCAAATATTGTAAAGATCCTACAAGCCACATTATTTTCTAGCAGGCATAGCTACAACAAAACCATTAGATGTTTTACTCATGCTTGTGTTGCATAAAGCGGAGATATTACTCTCCAAATTAGGGTATTCAGTTCTGTATTCAGAACACTTGGCTGTAAATGGGGTGAATTTCAGTTCAAGCTGATGAGACAGAACATTTATGCAGTCAAAGCCAGACCTACAGTTACCCTACCCTACCATACCATTTATGCCCTTCTGCTCTCAGAGCTATTCTGCCTGATGAAAAGTATTTGCAAGTTCTACTACCATGTATTGCCCAGTGATCTTCAAAATTAGGCATCTCACTCCCTCACAATTCAGACACACTGGTTTTTGCAAAGGCTACTTTTCTTTTGCAGAACATTCTTTCCCCTTCATCTAAAACCTGAGGCACAGTAAGGAAAATAGTCCTTTCAACACTGCAAATTTTCTAGAATTTGTTGCTTTCACATTTGAGAAGTTTCTTCTACAAACTATCACATTCCCATTAGTCATAAGCTTTTTTAAGGAAGAAAGTCATAATTAGCCTGTAAGGGAAACAGCAATTAAGTATATGCAACAATACCTTGGCATAAGTTGTATTGTCTGAAAACTGTGATAATATCACCTCAGGATTTTTTAAGTCGATACTGGCCATTCCTACTTCACCTCTGGCAAGGCCTCTTCCTTCTATTACAGCTACAATAACTGATGCAGCAGTATGAGTAGAGACTGCAGACGAGGATGTAACTGTAAAACAGTTCCATATATTCAGTTACAAGCCACTACTTTATGTTCACAGAATCATTCTTTGACATCCCAAGTGAAATATGTATTTGTATTCTCATATAATGGAAATCCCATTCAATTTAACAAACTTCATTAAAAATTAAAAATCCTGGTTGTTGAACTCCTTACTTGCCACACCATACAGGCAAGGCACTTTCCAAAGCGTAACCATCACACTCCTACATTAAAAGATGGACTGAATGCATTACCTAAAGATTGTCAGAACTAATCACATCTCTGTTGCAACTGAAAACACTTTCTGAGTCACTACCTCTGTGCTAAACAAAGAACCGATGTTTATTACATGCCAAAAGACATGGCTATTATTATACACTTGCCATTTAAATTCCAATGATGCATAGCTATTACCGTTAATTAAAATCAGATGTATTAACTGCAGAGAGATACTGTAAATTAATATTCCACTAAAGGCATAGCTCTGATCGAGGTTGCTTAGATCTTAGTTAGGGAACTTAGATCAAGTTAGGGAAAACAAATGTTTTTATATACAAATATATATATTTTATCGGATTTTATGCTAAACTATTCTAATATCTATATCTATAGTATGCTTGAGTTCCAGTAATTAGATTTTTATTTTGGTGTGGAGGGGTTTTTTATCATTTTTGGTATCTGAAAATTGTTTTAGCCTGCATTTTCCCAGATATGATCACAACCTCAACAAATGTCATCTCCTCCTTCAAATACCCAGCTATCTCTCCAACACACCCCTTGCAAAGACTAAGTGTGAAAATTAAGCTCCTTAACGCCTAATGCCATCCCTCCTGAAGACACTAACCCTCATTTTCTTACTTAGTCTCTTTCTTTCCCCCCCATGCAGATAAAACCACCAACTCAACTGCTTTAACAACTTGCCCAACACAACACAGCAAATCTACTTTGGGATTGTACTACAGACCTACAATAAACCTGATGTTGATATCTAACCTGAACAGACCTGTTATTCCTCATCTCATGTCAGCCAAATAGCTGAAATTTCAAAAATGGGCCTGTTTTTCATTCAACTACGATTTAATGAAGTACAGCTGACTGGAGACAAAGGCTGACGCATTCCTTCATCTCACTCTTCCCACACCACTTCATACAGTGCTTCATACCACTTCTGCTAAGAAACAGAAGTTTAATTAGCATCAAGTTAAAACCCAACTGTCCTAGCATTACTCTTCTGGCACCTAAAAGCTAATCTGTGAGCTGGGAAGTTGGACAGTCTCTGAGATGAGGTTATCATCTGCAGTCAGAATCGGGGTGATGAGAAGCTGAATGAAATGAGCTGGCCCTCCCACTTCTCCCCAGTTTTCCTCTAGGTGCCTGCCATCACAAATCAATGCAACAACATGTCTAACCAATAATAATGAAGTCCCAACACATCCAATTATATTCCACATTTAAGAAGCAGTGCTCTTGTAATGGGTTGATGTAATTTTATTTGGTGTACTGAAATTCTCCTAGTCTATGAAAAACCAAAAACATGTATACACTGCTTCTTTTGGTATCTCATCTAATTTTTGTTTCATATTTGCAAAATGGCATTGCATTCTTCCAAATTCTACTGGAGAAGCTACTAACAATGTTTTGTTTGGAAATCTGTGACCAAACATTGTGAGACTGTGCTATTCAAACTAGCAAATGTGTAACTTGCAATACTGAAGTAACTATCAGCCTATGGAAAGCAGCTGCTACATACACTTCGCTACATATCAGAACGTGAGATTCTGGATATGCTGTAGTCATTAAAGGTCAGTGAAAGATTGATTAAGGACTGTCACACACAAAACAGAAAAAATAACTTCTTCAGGCTAAAGAACACACAGGTAAAATCAAAGGGAACAGACGAAGTGAGCTTGTTTCACTGTTAAGTTGCATAATGTCTAGAGAAATCTGCTCTGTGGGTTTCAACATCATAGTTACTCCAATTCTCCAGTTCCTGGAGTAGTCACAAAGAAAACTGCATCACAACAGCTGCAGGAAACCACACACTTCATGATACTTACATTTTGCAATATAATAATAATTCAGTGGCAAGTGGAGAGCCAGTTTATATTCTTATCAGGAATAGGTATTTTTTTCAAATAAATTTTTAAATAATTTCATTGCTTCAAAGAATTACCATTAAACAACTTTAAGAACACTAAAGACAGAACTGATTAATCAGTTAAAGAACTTTGAATCCCATCACTTCTGCACTACCAGAGCACACAGACAGACATAACCTGGCACAAGGCATCATTAACCTGTAGCACAACTTTTGCATAAATAGCTCATACCCAATGGATAAGCATTCCTCTGAAGATCTAGTGTTCTACATCTTTGAAGAGACCAATGTAAACCATGTAAAACTTGCATCAAGAGACCTGAGAATGACAACATGATATACAATGTACAAGCATTTACAAGCCTAAGAAGAAACCTTGATCAGCAATGTGCATGAATTTGGGATCTTCAGTTCAGTCACCACACAAACCAACATGGCCACAAAAATAAATCCATTTTGGACAATTTGAAAAAAGCCTGAATTATAACTACAGTGATAATTTATACATGAATGGAGAATGGCAAGAGGTTGCAATACCAAAACATCTACTCAAGTATTTAATGTAGCATTTTCCCCTATGGGTGCATGTTGCATTGGCAGGCACCCTCTGTAGTACAAAACACACTATGTTCTGAGTTTTGAATATACTTCAGTATCTTACTGGATCACATTAAAAAATAAAATGTACTTTATAAAATAATGTAAAAAATGTAAGTAGGACTATTTCCTTTAGTAGCTGTTAATCTTACCTGAATATCCCATAAGAGGCGTATGGCTTCTGCAAACAGATCTACTAGAAGAGAGGGGTGTTTTTGCTACGCATGTGCTATGCAGGCCTCGCACAGAAGAACTCGTGAGATTCAGTGTGCTAGTGTTTTCTACACAAGAACTTTTGTCCCCAAAATATGATTCTGAAAGGGGAAGGAAAAAAATATTTTTTTTAATTCAGAAAGCAATACATAAATATACCACTTTGAAAACTTTATTTTTCTTACTACAGAGATATCCAAGCAACAACCTCTAATGTCACAGAGGCTCTTTGAAGTATGAAATAAAATAAAAAGAAGTCTGTTTTGAAATCAAACCTTTACTAATGCTTATTTTCCACAATGACGTAAGTTGAGGCACCAATGAAAGCCACTGTTTGCATTGCTAGACTGAAATACTACAGAAGTCACTGTACCACACATAATTTCATATTCTAATGTACCTTACAGTTATGAATGTGGTGTCAGCACCATCTTACATTTGCCTATCAGTTTTTAAATCTATACCTGAAACTGCATGTGTTTATGGGTTTATTTATTTTTGAAGGTCAGCATTCTTTTTTTAATAAAAGAAAACAAAGAACCATGCTCAAAACCTCCTCCACTTGAGAATGGAATGATCTCCCTTTGATTTTATGGGGTTCAGCTCTCAGAAATCATACAATAATCTGGGAAGTATCTGTTATCTGCAGTTTCTTTTACACACATATCTTCAGATTTATCTCTATTTTTAAGTCCTGCAAAATCTCTCAGATCATGTTTCTGTTTAACGAATTATTTAAAATATTTATTTTCAGTTTTCTTGAGATGACTAAAATCAACATCATATCCTTAATTTAGCTTGAATAGTTGCCGTAAGTTGCATAAAAAGGAATTAAAATAGAAAGAGTTTTTCTACTTAGCAGTTACAAAATTCCAGGTATTAAGAGACATGGAAGCCCAAACATTTCTGTTCCCTCTATTAAATTAAAAATAGATCTATAAGAGAGAATACTTTAGCACTGTGCTCAGATGACCCATTAACTGCATGACATTTCCTCATGGTTGGTACAAAAATACTGACAATATTGTTTGATTTTTTTTGTGGGAGATGTTTTTTTTAGATCTTACAAAACTGACATCTGGAAAAAAAAAACCCAACAAAACATCATTAGTTCAGACTGTTTTGTTTGGGGTTTTGGTTGGTTGGTTGGTTTTTTAAGAGTGGACAAATCAGCACTGAAATGCACAGTGATTTTTTAAAAAAAAAATCATTCACAATGCGTAAGTTCACTCAGAAGTTTGGTAGAGAAGACTTTGATTTCCTGGCATAACATGGGGAAAAACGTAATTTTAAAGACCAGATGAACCGAACCACCTTGGGGTATCTTTTAAAACCAGCATTTAACAAGTTATGCACTACTCAAATTGAAATTCTGTTTGTTGTTTGGCATATTTTAGGATTCATGACTGAGCATGTACATTACCCACAACCACGTTACCTTCCTCCCAGTTTACATGTAATGAAGATGTATGCACTTCAGAATGCATTCCAGCAAGTGTTAAGATAATTTCCAGCTCCTTTTATAGGTTTTTCACTGAAAAACATACAATTTGAACAATAGGAACTGGCTGGTGCACACATGTTCAGCAGTCAGGAGCTGAGGTGCCACGTCCTCAGCGGGAGCCAGCAGCCCAGGGTGAACAGCTTTATGCGGAGGATGGCAATAGCAATATCACATTTTAGGACCTCAACATTTTTACAACACATGGAGGATAACAGCATTTAAAACTACACACACACACACACACACACACACACAAAACAAAAAAAAAAACCCAAACCAACCAGCAAAAAAAAAAACAGAAAAAAAAAAAAAGAATAAAGAAAAACCACCACCAAAGAAATCAAACCCAAGTCCCATAACCACCTGAACGCTGTCCAGGTCCCTAGTGAAGCAATACTGTGTTGCAATTCAAACCAAATTATTGACCCCATCAGGGAACCGAGATAATGCTATTAGAAATCTCACATCAAGAAAATAATGATTTATTTAAAGAAGTGTGAAGAACGACCACCATTGTCCTGATGGTTTGAAGGGAAGCGGCGGGGCGGGGGGAGAAAGGTCACTAAGGAGATGGTGCTGCGCCTCGTCAGGCAACCACCGCGTGTAACTGCCCCTTCGACCGAAACAGCGGGCAGGGCGACAGAAGAAAGCGGCCAAGGCCCGTACGGAGAGGGCAACGCAGCACCCCACCTCCTCTTCCGGAAACCGGCGCCTTTACCCCGGCAACCCGGCTAGGGGCGACGCCTTCCCGGCTTGAGCTGCCCGGCCCGGCCCCGCCGCTGGAGAGCTCTCCGGTGCTGCCCGTCGTGCTGCGCGGCGTCTGCAGCAGCCCAAGGGTATAGCGGGGCGGCCGCTCCGCCCGCCCTCCCAACCCCGACGTGGAGGAGCAGCGGCCAGTGTAGGACTCCGAGGTGGCCGAGGCGGTCTCCCGCCGGTACGCGGCCGCCGTACTGCTCGCTTCCAGCATCGCCGACTCGCCCCGAACGGCCACCGCCGCCCCCGAAAATGGCGGCGCCCCCGCCCCGCTCTCACACCCCCGCCCCCGGCGGCCGCTGAGGGGAGCCGCGCGCCCCCGCCGCACACGGGCACAAACAGCGCTCGCCCCGCCGCAGACAGCGCGGCTGCGCACGCAGTGAAAGGGTGATACGGGGCTGCAAGGGAAGGGAGCTCTGCAGAACGGGAGCGGCGCGTTCACCCGCAGCTCGCCCCGCATCCGTTCTTCAGCATCCAGAAACTGCTCCAGCCGCGTCCTCCCTGCTCACGACTTTAGGTACTAAAAGATCCCAATAACAACCACAAAGCTTGTGTACATCTAGAATTGTTAAAACATGCCCTTAGCACGCTCTGACGTGTGTCACATGACTGTAGCATGCATACATACCACTAAAACCGTTCCAATAAACATTCTGACAAGATTTGTCCTTGGAACGTAACACACCTGCATTAAAAAACACTCCAGACAGAAGCCAGCCCTTGCCAGCCCACGGCGCTTCACAGACAACTGCAGTCTGATGGATACTCAGCTTCACAACTGAAATGACAGCAGTTGCAGCTCCTCTGCTGGCATCTGCTCACAGTTCAGACAGCACGTGCTTTCTCAGCAGCGAGTATCATCAGCCTGGTACCAGGAACTTGAATGTCACTGCAGAGCAAAGGATGGCAGGCTGCAGGTGCCCATTCCAGCTACTGCCTGTCCTCAATTTCAAGTCCTACACTGAGCTTTCCTTTTGTCCTGGGCTCAGCAGTAGCAGTCATTTTTCTCCTTCTTAGTAGCTGGTGCAGTGCTGTGGTTTTGACTTTCAGCCTGGGAACAGCACAGATAACACCGATGGTTTTAGCTGCTGCTCAGTAATGTTTACTCCGAGTCTCATGCTCTGCCAGGGAGGAGGGGAAGCCGGGAGGAAGCAGAGACAGGACACCTGATCCAAACTGACCGAAGAGGTATTCCATACCACAGCACGTCATGCCCAGTATATAAACTGGGGCAGTTACCCGGAAGGGCTAGATCACTGTTCAGTCAGGCTGGGTATCGGGTGGTGGGTGGCGAGTGGTTGTATTCTCTCCCCTTGTTATTTCCCTTATCATTATTATTATTATTATTGGTGGTAGCAGCAGTGATTTGCGTTATACCTTAGTTACTGGACTGCTCTTATCTCAACCCGTGGGAATTACATTCTTTTGATTCTCCTCCCCATCCCTCTGCAAGCAGGGGGAGGAAAGGGGGGAGTGAGCGAGCGCTGCGTGGTGCTGTGTTGCCGGCTGGGCTTAAACCACGACACCCTTCCATCAATTCAGAGTGCATTCAGACTCCTGCAGCTGAAGGGGGTTAGACCCTTTTCCTCTTCTCTGACAGAAATCCAAGCATATGACAAGAAAGGCAGAAACAAAGGCAAAGTCCATCTTCCACCTTCCTTCCTTCTGTATGGTCACAGGTTACAACTTAACAGAGTTGCCTTAAGAAAACTGAGAAAAATCATCTCTGGAATAAAGTACATACCTCTGGACTTGGACCATGTTCTTGAAGGCAACAGAATGGCTGTTGATCCCTCTTCCCTCCTCATTTTCTTTGAATAAGCATATCTACAGACACACAATTTATGTACCCAGATTATTCACTATTCTCTCACAAATTCTCATACAGTATCTTGCAATATTTATTGCTGGGAATACTGGCTATGCTACAGTACTTAAAATCAAGTACTAATATAATGTTGGGATCTTTCCATAGGAATATTTCCACGGGGAAAAAGAAAAAAAGGTTATGAAAGTATGTATTTCTGAAAGCCTTTAATAAAGGACCAGTAACCAAAGACTGAGAACTGCTGATTAATTATTGCAAAGTTAACTACATAAGCTCAGAAAAGAAAAATCTTATTAGTACTTTTAACAAAATAGAGGTAGACAGTAACAATGGATTTTGCACCAAAATGGCATAAGACATAACACAGACACACTAGGAAACTATTTTTTCACTGGATATTTAACAGAAAACATGACTTTCTTCACGTAAGAAAAATTGTGATGACTTCTGCAAATACAGTACTTTAAAGAACTGATGTAAAGAATGGAAGAATATTCTTAAGAAGTCAGTTTGTGCACATACATCTTTTTTAACCTATAATCTTTTAAGATCTTCACAAGTAACAGCTTACTTAGGAAATGAAGTTGACCAGACCTTCTTCAGAAAAAAAACTCCAATACATTAACAGGATTTCAACCTACAGTTAAATGTTCTACACTGTCATGCAGTATCACCCACAGGCTAATTCTCAAGGTGTCTCTGTCTATACTAGACTAGAAATTCTGAAGATGATTCTATTCTGTCTACACAACATGGAAAAATGGCAAATTCCTATGTACTGAACAATGTTTCCTTAGATGAAAAGAAGTGGCACTTGCAAAAGTAACCTGGAATAAGAAAAAAATAACTTAAAATTTTCTGTTACACCTCATAGTTGCATAAAACCTGATCAGTGTTCTCGCTCTCTCACACTCAACACAAAGCCTGCTGTAACTTTCTTCCAAACCTTGAGAAGGAAATTAATTCATCAGGCAACTGGACAGTTTAAGAAGAGCAGGGTTCTTACCTTATCTAAAAAAGCCTGTAGAGAAAGCTTAAAACATTTATTAGAAATACTTAAGCATTCAAATGCACGTTCTCTCTTTGAAATTCTCTATTAGTAAAGGTCTACCAAAAAGTCCAGTTATACCTTACACTCTACTAACATGAACAGGCTGGGTAAAACTAACCAGATGGCTTTTAGAAGTGTCTGAAACAAATGTAGACCTTCTGAAGTACAGAAGCAAAGACTTTCTCCCCTTTACAATTACCTTTTATTATGTATTTCACTCTTAGCCAGGGTGTGAGGAACGTAAATTAAAAGGCAATTTTAGGGCTTCTATGAAGACAAAGAGGACTTAATCCTTCAGAGAACAAGTATTTTCCATGCCTAGTTTATTCTCATTACACCATAATCAAGTGCTGGCAATTACCGTCTTAAAAGCTACGAAAACAGGATTGCAACTCAGCAACAAATTTAGTATCAACTCTATACTCAGTTAGAAGTTACTGTCCTATAGACCTTCTCTAGAATGCTTAGTATTAGCAAATTTCACTACAGATACTCAAGGTATGCTCTATTTCTATCAGAGAAATTCTGCCTAAGGGACTCATCAATAAGTGAAGACATTTATATGCTTAATGGAACAACAACTGTTGTTTTCACTGGAATCAATTACTATCAGAAGAAAAAACTTGCTTCTCAGTATATAAAAGTGATGGCAAATGTGAAGAGGAACAATTACATACACAAGCGCACCGCAGTAAGTGCATGGCTTAAGTAGGGTTTTGTTTGCAGGTTGGTTTGATTGGTGTTTTTTTTTCGTACTCTTTTAAAGTGCTTTCTCTGATCTGCCATCAAAACATGCTTGTTGAAGGACAGATGTGAGCATGGTTGATATCACACGAATACAAAAATTAAACATTCAAGCTATTGCTTTGACTTGAATATTAAAAAAAAAAAAAGCCCACCGTGTATTTAAGTACACATTGGAAGTGTTTCTACGTCTCTTATATACAACCAAAGAACATGTTACACTCAGATTATTAGAAGCAGCCTGTTCTGATACAGTTTACGAAGTGACAAAGCCAACAGTAAAGCTATTGCTTTACTTTTGCAATGTAAACATCTCAAAGAATATGCTAACAGTTTCAGAGATGAGATTACTTAAATCAGTAGAACCAAAGCAAGTGGGCATATCAACCTTTTGTCTCTATGAGGCTTAGCTCAGAAGCTCAGGCTGTACATTTATTCTTTGAAGGACATCTTCTGGCATGCAAAAGACAGGATTGACTGCCTTGATTTGTTCTTCTCCTAATAAAGATAGTCCAGCAATTCCAAATAGGGTATGAAATGGATCCACCTGGGGGAAAAAGAAAAAGAGTTTGTGTCTGTTTCCAAAGATGTTCATGTTCAAATGTTCATTCATACAAGCTTTTCATTTGTATGGCATGAAGCTTCTGTTTGCTAGGAAGAGGCTGAAAACCCCCATGGCTGAAGGAGACAATGCAACTGAACAAAGCTTTCATTTGTGCTGACAGGCAAGACAGCTTCCACAGCATGTATCTACAATACTATGATTTACTCAGAGATGCTTGCCAATTGTCTCTTAAGACAATTTTCAACTCTGAATTTGACAGGAAGCACTCGTTTGCCTCCATTACCATTAAATGTCACAGGGTAGCAGAAGCAAAGAAGAGATTTTAAAAGTAAGTTTGATCATCCATAAGTATCGCTTCCATAAATTCCCCATTTGCTCTTCAGCAACCTTTTAATTGTCTTCAGCTCTTTAATGGTCTCTGAATACAGAGTTGTGCTGTAAAATCTTGAGAGGGGAGAAGCAACCTACTGTGAAAGAAAATTGAAGGAAAAAATATAAGAAAAAACCCAGAAGAGACAGGAGCAGTGATGTGGTGTCCAAGTATTCCTTCACTGTATGAAACTTCCCTAAAAGCACTTACCACCACATAACTGCAGCAGATTATGAAGTCTCATTAAAAGCATCCTGTCAATGGAGTTAATCAACCATTCTACAAAAACCTATCCAAAAGTCCCTGTGCCGTCTGGTGCAGCATACATCCTGTTTGCTTTAGTGGAACTTCTAGATCTCACTGCAAAGGTTCTATAATGCAGTAAACTAAGCCAAATTACCATGTTGCAGCCATATACAGGATCCTCAACCACTGATCACAGCCTAGAAGGTTCAAACTACACTACCACAGCAAGTCTCACTCCTCAATGGATTGGCAACCACATTATTAGTGCGGTCAAAGCTTAGACTTATATATACTTGCTCCTGCCCAGAACTGAGTATATGGCCATAAAGGAGGGGTAAAATAAATAAGCAGTAAAATAATAATAATGAATAGTACACTTTAGGAATGGCAAGACAGATGGACAGGCCCAGAAGGGGAGATGGTCCCCAATGGGAAGTGTGCAAGTGAAGTTACAGATTCA